TGGCCGGAGCTTTCCTTGCGCTACATTAAAATTGTTTAGATTGCTGCTTCCAACTGGTTCCTCTAATGGTAGGCTTCAAAATATATAGCCTACTCGCTACGTGGGCTTTCTTTATTGTTTATTATTCAACTTTATGAAGTTGCTCATCAATGGCGGTTAATATCTCTCAAATCGTGCTCTTTTATTGTTCCCCAACATTTTTAAGTTGCCCATCAAAAGTAAGCAGCCATTATTGTTTAGGTTTTTGCCGACAACTATTTAATGAACCGGACGTGTTTCTGTTTATCGTTAAAATCTTCCATTTTGTTCAAGTGTTGTGTTACTAGGTAAAATGTCTTTGGCGGTAAGTTATCTATCGTCTCTTAGTATCGAAATGAGTTCCTAGTTCCTTACAAAAAAAAAAAAAAAAAGAACTACTTCTACCGAAGAATGGTTCATAACTTCTATTCAAATAGTTTATGTACCTGTGGACGATTTAACCGATCTTTCTTTTGCCACTACATTTGCACATTTGGATGCTAGCATTGTACTATCAAGAGGATTAGTTGCCAAAGGTATCTATTCAGCAATAGATCTTTTAGATTCAACATCAACTATGCTACAACCTTGAATTGTTGGGGAAGAACATTAGAAAACTGCAAAAATAGTTAAACAAACCTTACAATGCTACAAAGAACGGTAGGACATTATAGCTATCCTTGGGTGGATAAATTATCAAAAGAGAATCTTAATTGGAGCACAAGCACGAAAAATTGAGCGTTTCTTATAGTCTTTTTTTCGTAGCAGAAGTATATAAGGGTTAAAAAAAATAAATAAAATTGACTTTTTTAAAAATTAATTCTGGTTGATTTATTGAATTATTAATAAAACCAAAATCTTGGATGCCACAACTATTTTAATAAATCTAGACATTAGGATAAATTAGATCTTAAATAGTCTATATATGTAGTTAACTCGTAATCAAACCTATGCTCGAGTTGTTCGAATCACTTCTCATTTAAAACATAGGTTTAGATGGGGTACCTCCCATGGCTAACAACTAATGAATTGTCTATTATTAGTTAAATTTTTATTTGCTTTATTATTTTATTAATTGTATTTTATTTTATGTCTGAAAGGGTTTGTAGGTTGGGTTTGATAGATAATTAGTTATATTTTTCGTCCAAGAACTCAATCCAATTCAATCATAAATTTTTGGGTGGAATGGATTCCAATCCTCCCCTTCATTTATTCAATTATTTAAATAATAAATTTTATGATTCTTTTGTATTCCTATATTTGGGTTAAATTGATTCGAGTTGTCCGATGCATTTATTCAATTAATTAAATAAGCTTCATGATTCTTTTGTACTAGGTACATATTTAGAAATAAATAATATAATATAAAATTTTAGACCCGTTTTAATAACTATTTAATTTTTTAATTTGGTTATTAAACAATTCCTCGTTAATTTACGACAAGATTTTATGGTAATATAACGATATGCCCTTTCTAATAAAACAACGAACCGTTACTTTTAAACAAAAATAAGAGAACACCACCAAATTATTCAAACAAGTTGTATTTTCTATCGTTTTCTATGTTAAAATTTTAGTATCATTTTCAGTCGATTCAAACTATTATAGAGCCGAGTCTTAATTCGTATTTATTTTAATTCGACTCTTGAAACCAGGTTGAGCCATAGTTGAAAAAGCTTGCAAAATCCAACTAGAAAAATTAAAAGGAAAAGGTCCCCAACTATAATTACATAATATTCATAATACTTCCAAAATAATAATAAATATATATATATATGCTAGCAATATAATTGGTTATAAGTATTTATATGGACCGAAATGTAATTTCACTAATATATTAAAAATTAAATTATAAAATAAATATATCAAATCCATCAAATATGTCTCATCTACATTTTAACTCTCTCCTAATAAAATAATATATAAATTAAATTATTAACTAGATTTTTCTAATAAAACAATTTAAATGATTAGATTAATTACAAGTAATTAATTAATTAAAATATTTATATTACATTATTGATTTAATATAAATAATAATTCAATTAATTTAATATTGATTAAAATAGTTAGTGATTCATAAAATGCCACATATTATATATTATATATATATTTATAATGATTAAAAAAACACTAAACAGACGAGGAAAAGATTTTGGAAAAAAAAATAATAATAAACAAATAAAACAAAAAAAAATTAAAATGAGTTCTGAAAACGGAGCCCAAAGATTCCGTGGGTCGTATCTGACGTGACCGACTATCTCGGTTATGTCTCTCTCTTATGATTTGACCATTTTACCCTTCTTTTAAATACATAATTTTTGAACTCTCCAATTTTGAATAAATTTTGTAATCTAATTTACACATAAAATATCTTATTAATTTTGGTTTAATTTTTTTTAAAAGGGTATTTTTTAATTACTTCTAATAAATTATAAACTATTTGTATTGGTACCATTTCAACCATTTTTTCATTTTAAAGTCATTTGTTAAGGTAGGCTAAGATGGTCACGAGTTACTAACATAATAATACTTACATTTTAAAGACATTTGTATTGTTAAGCCTGGATTAGTTGATATGAACCAAAAGACATCAATCATACAATATATTTCAATGAAGATGTGAGAAAATGTTGTCAAAATTATCAAAAGATGTTTCAATTCATGCCACATCGAAGAAGAATGAAGTTTGATTGTTATAAATTTTGGATGGGTTACAATTTAGAGTTATTGTATTTTAAGATTTTATTTACTATAGATTACAATTACATAATGGTTAATTATGGTCATTAAGTATGAATGTTACAACTCTTCGAATACATTTAATAGTTTCATTTTGAGACTATATAAAGCCATGTATATTGTATGTGTAAGAGACTTGGAAAATATAGTAAAAGAAGCATTTGTGCTCTTCTTTGGCCAATGTTGGCTAAGTTTCTTTGCAATTCTATGTAGTTTAGGTTGCATATAGAATCATTCAAGCTCGACATGATCAATATTGCTTGTGGAGTGATTCAAATCTCAAGCAAGTGTTCTTGCCTTGAGATATTTGAGCAACAAGAATCATTCAAGCTAGACATGATCGATCTTACTTGTGGAGTGATTCGAATCTCAAACAATGTTCTTGCCTTGAGATATTCGATCAATAAGATAATCTGAATCTTACTCCCACTGTAGTAGTTCCTTTTCTTATCATTAGTTCTGTGAGGACTCCGTCTTCTCTTTTTGACATTTTCTTACATTAGAACAAAATGTGTAAATATAATATTTAAAAAAAAAAAAAAAAAGTGAAAATTGGCTTGAAACTTGGAAGAAGTTGAGTCAACACTTTGACCAACTTTTATTGACTCTTCTTTTGGACTATACCTCGAGCTTCCTTCCGCACCTTTTGGATCCCTCCAAAATTTTTAATTTTTTTTTTTATTATGAAACATAATGGAAAGGACTGATTCGCCCTCCTTCATGTCGTAGCATTAGATAATTGATGGCTCTATCACAAGGGTATTTTTGTAATTTAGCTAATCAAATCATGTCGGTAATTTGAACAAACCCATGATCCACAATTTTTGGTGACAAAAGGGCATTAAGGTAATTTCCACCATCCTATGATCTACAATTTGATGATGAGTTTATCTCAAATTTATAAAACTAATAATAATTTGAATCACTCTTTATTAATTGTGGATTCCACTCTTCAATATTTGCATTTCCCAAAGCCCTTAAAATAATCTAAATAGTATTTTCCAATATTGCCCTCCAAAACTCTAGTGAGTATGCAATTATCCATGGGTAGTATTGTAATATCCTTATGCATAGATTGGGGTGCCCCAAATGTATAATTTATTTGTTTAGGGCACCCAAAGGCACAATAAATTATAAAGTAACACAAAACCATAAATCTTAGCTTTAATTGAATTAGGTGAGAATTATTTGATTAATAAACATTCATTTATTCTAAAATAATATTTGGGAAATTATTTGTTTAAGTAATTTTAATTTTTTAAAAATACAAATTTATTTATTTTGAAATATAACTAATAAATTAATATTAATATTTTTCACGATCGAAGAAAATGAAAAATAGGTTCAACTCGCTTATTTAATATTCACGTTAGTGATAACTCTGTTGGTGACAACAATTTGATAACTTATTAAAGATTAAATTATAATTTTTAAGAAAAAACAGTAATATTAAATTTATTTGATATTTTAAAGTTTACTGTGTCTTAGAGATCGCCAAAGTTCACTGTTAACAAATAGTGTAATGTTTGAACTTTTGTTTTTTAAAACGTGTCGGCTCGAGAGAGAGAGAGAGAGAGGGGTTTATATACTCTTATAAAAATGTTTTGTTCTACTCCCAACTAATGTGGGATCTCACATGTCTGAATAGTGTTTTAGTTACTGTTCCAATTGTAGAGATATTTACTCAAGTCCTTTTATGACACCTATCGTGATGATAAACGGCTCATCTCGCCGTGACCTTCTCTTGAATTCTCAAAACTTCTGTCGCTCCATCCCCACAGGGGCAGAGAACCCATCGCTGTTTCGGCTGTGCTACCGGAGGCTCTGGGGAAGTCGGAATAGGAGAGCACTCATCTTGGGGTGGGCTTACTACTTAGATGCTTTCAGCAGTTATCTGCTCCGCACTTGGCTACCCAGCGTTTACCGTGGGCACGATAACTGGTACAGCAGAGGTGCGTCCTTCCCGGTCCTCTCGTACTAGGGAAAGGTCCTCTCAATGCTCTAACGCCCACACCGGATATGGACGGAAACATGTCTTGTTGACTTCATGTATATGAAAAATTCAACATACCCTTTACGGATCTAAACGTTTTTGATACAAAGGTAAAACTCGAGAAGATTTAGGACTAAATTTGTAAGTTAAACTTTTATAGAGAAAAATAATGGAGAAGGGGGAAGCTATGATGAGTATAGAAACCATGGCACTTTTATGCAGACATGAACAGTAGGTTCGCAGTCATCTTGTCTCTCCCAGCACCCTTCACTCGTGTGAGAGAGAGAGAGAGAGAGAGATTCTCTCTCTTCCTTTCATTTTCACTGTCTATGGCGCATGTTTTATCTCTCTAGCATTTGCCTTGCGTTGCACTCTCTCAAAGATAATACCCTTGTGCTCATTATGCTTTAAGGCTATTGCTCAAGTTCTTCTGATCATTTTTTGCTTTCACCCTTCAACTTTCCTTGATTCTTTCTCATTTAGTTAGTGACAGATTCATCGTTTCTTAATTTGGGGTTTCCCCCCTTCTGCCATGGATTCTTTCGAAGCTTTCAGCTGAAGAGATTCGTCGACATGGTTGCTTCTCCCTGCTGCTGCTGTTTGTTGGGTTTTTATTTGCCTTCGTTCTTCTAAGATCTGGTAGGGTAAGCCCAAAATTTCGCTTGAATTCTTCTGTTCCTTGTTTTGGGGTTTCTTGAAATGTTGCCTGCAATGTGTTTGATGAAATGTCTTTTGCTCCCTTTGCTCACATTTTGATTTTCCTCTGCTACTTCTCTGTGTTTTAGGGCAGAAGATCTCAGTTTCCTGAATCAATTTCTTTTTCTTCTGTCTAAACTGATTTTTTATGGGGAGTTTGCCTTTTTTCAAACTGGATTGTTGCAAGGTTGGAGTTCATAGATCCTAGGCTGCTTTTTTTTGTTCAATTTGAGCTATTGTTAAGATCTGGTTTCTGTGCTTTGGTCTGTCTTTGTTCAATTTTAGTGTTCAAATCTGTGAGTTTTAGAAAGAAACTGTTGAGTAGACCATTTTATTTTCGTTTGATTCAAACGAAAACATCAATACCTTGTTCCATAGCTTATGAACTATGTTGAGTTACATTGTTTTTTCTTTGCCCTTTTTGTAGCTAGAACGGTTACATGGTCAAATATCTTAGAATTCTGCTCAAAACTTAGTGTCTTTCTTATGGCAGATCTGTGGATCATACAATGGGGCAAGATACAGAATTGGACTTCGACAGTATTTGCTCTGTGGATCTGAGTCCTAACACAGTTCTACCCTCGATCCCACGACATTCGAGCATTAAAACTAGAAGCTCAAGAAAAAAACACAAGCATAAAGATTTTGTATTGAGTGTGAAGGATGATTTTACCGAGATTAGATTCGGTGGCAGCCGTAGGTCTCGAAAAAGCAATTCATCTAGCCTAGTTGAACTAGAAGATAATGAGCATATAGGTTTTGAATTGAATGTAAAGGATGATTTCACAGAGATTAGATTTGGCAGCGACCGAAGTTCCCGTAAAGGCGATTCACCTTGCCTAGATGAATTGGAAGATGATAAAGTGCGCAAACGGGGTTCGAAGTACCAAAGCTATGAAGATGTAGGTAATATAGAAGGGATGAGCATTCAAGGGGAAAGGAGAAAGATAGAAATTTCTCATGACAATAAGATCTCTTTGTCTTCTGGTATTGTCGATTCTTTGTGTAGTTCAGATGAGGAAAAACTAGAGAGGAGAGATAATGTATTATCTTTGAACACAAAACTGAATCAATCATCAGTTAGTAAGGCTTGCATACGCCCACGTTCATCGGATAGCTTCCTTGAGATCTACTTAGGTTCCGAGAACAGTGAAGCTCTATCAAAAGATTCAAGCAATCAGCTCGGAAATGTTACAGGCATTAGACCTCTTCACAATGGCAAGAAACTTTTCAAGAGAGACAAGGTTTACGCATTGCAGAAGTCGCTCTCTGCTAAGGTAGAAATGCCTAAAAATCAGCTTCCGTTGGAGAGTGATCTACGATTTAGACACGGCCAAAAGGTTCGTACAAGCCCTTTCAGGAAAATATTGGATCCGTTTATGAAGTCTAAATCTGTTAGAAGTCGTTTCAGTCATGCAATAGAAGCTGATGGAGATAAAGCTGTTAAGACAATTGACTTGCAGAGAAACGAGACACACAGAAAGGCGAAGAGTTCAGATTGTGATTCCCATTTTTCGAATATTGATAATCGTCATAATGTTGTTGCATCTTCGCCCGTACATTTACATGGCTCTCTCAAGTTGGAAAGAAAACATGGGATGCCATTTTTTGAGTTCTCTCAGAGCTCTCCCGAAGATGTCTACGTAGCCAAGACGTGGAAGACGGACGATGCTTTTAAATGGGTATACACATTTCATACCCAAGATCATCAAAAGAAGAGCAATGCAAGTAATTTTGGATTGAATCATAGCTGTAAAAACTCCTTAATGGTGGGTCAGATGCAAGTTTCCTGTTATTTATCCTCTGAACTTCGAGATGGTGGTTTTGACAACTCGATGGTCACAGAATTCGTTCTGTACGAAACGGGGCGTGCTAGAAAAAGTACAGCATCACAGGGAAGTTGCGACTTTATCCACGACGCTGTCAAACCTCCTAAAAGTTCTAATTCAGCCTTGGTTGAGGAAGCTTTTAGTATGAACGATGGGACTCTAGAAAAACCAAAATTTCAGCAAAAACAAGCTTCTGAAAACTGTGATTATGGTTTTATTGATTCTTGCCCTTGGGATTCAGCAGATTTACATCCAGACCTGGAAGCTGCAGCTATTGTTATGCAAATCCCATTTAGAAAAAGAGGTGATAAGCCAAGCAGCAAATTGATCTCAGCTGTCCAAAACCTCTCTAAGATTGAACAAAGGAAAGACGAACCTCCCCATCACACAACTCGAGAAACGCTGAAGGTGGTCATTCCCATTGGAAACCATGGTTTGCCTACTGTCGAAAGCCATGGCCCTTCTCCGTTACTCGATCGATGGAGATTGGGAGGCGGGTGTGACTGTGGTGGTTGGGACATGGGCTGTCCTCTACTAGTTTTGGGCACCCATAGTGCTGAAAATCAAGCACACAAGGGGAAACAAACCTTTGAGCTTTTTCATCAGGTAAGCTTTCTATTTGTTCTATATAATACAACTCTGGACTGATGCTTCATACCAAAATTTGGGTAACAATCATATTATGAAAGCTTCTCATTGTAGTATTTGCTTTTTTATGTGGATACAGGGAGTAAAGGATACGACTCCAGCATTGACTATGAATGTTGTTAAAGATGGACACTACGCTGTCGATTTTCACGCGCGATTATCGACGTTCCAAGCGTTCTCCATTTGTGTTGCTATTTTACATGCGACTGAAGCTTGCAATGCTGTCCAGGTGGAGGAAACAAAAGAGTTGCAGCCTTGCAATTCTTTGAAGGTGCTTCTTGAGGAGGAAGTAAAGTTCTTGATCGACGCAGTCACGATGGAGGAGAATAAAAAAGAAACGAGAACATTGAAAGAAACACCGTCGTCGTACTTGTTCAATCCTCCATTTTCTCCGATTGCTAGAGTGTAGGATAAATACCAACTTGATCAGTACAGATATTATGGTTGATTCGAGTTATGGTGCTGCTTGATAAAGCTCAAATGGAAGAAATTGTACAAGGAACGTTCTCAGCAACCGCACGGGTTCTCGGAGTCGGGCGCATTTGAATTCTTTTGTAGAACGGAGGAAGAGGTTACTTAGAGAAGCTGAAATGGCTAGTAGGGGAGACTTTGTGATAGAGGGTGTCAGGACCCTTTTATTTATTATTCTTCAAAAACCAAATCCTTTTGAATAACTTAATAGTAAATTGTCCATATTGTAATGTGGTAGGGGGATGTGTAGCCCATTGTTCTTCACATTGAACTTTTTGTACATTATATTGTTAAGAGAGAGAATGAAGGCTTGATATCAGTAGAAATATATATTTTCATTAAGTTTCGTCTTGAATCTACGGTTCGATATCAGCTTACTTTGTTCTTTGAAACGTTGAAGGATGGTGATAAGATTGTCTTCTTTAGAGTTCGTCTAAATTAGGAGGCTCTTATGGAAAAATAGAAATTTGTAAAATGTCTGAGCCGAAGGACCTTTAAGTGTGTGAGACTAGCTTGATACCCAACTATACCACCCAAACATGATGTCAATCTATATTAATGCTTCGAAATCAAATGAAGGCTCCTATGTAAAAATAGATGTAAAAATAGAAATTTATAAAATGTCTAAGCCCAAATGTGAATGGGGAACCTCCAATACCTCCAATGTGTACGAGTGCGTGATAACCAACTACACCACCCAAATACAATAACATTCTAAATTATCAAACTCAAGACTTTTAATGTATGAAGTTAGCGTGATAAGGACATTGACCATTATCATTTTGAAATATACATTTTATAGTTCAATTTATTGTAGAATAAGGCATACTTAATTAGCGTTTTACTTTGTAGGGATTCGTCAAAACTCATAATCTATTTTATTAGCATTACATTTTGCGTTTATTATCTGAGCCTTTCAATACTAAAGCTGTCTTCAAAGTTTCTTTGTTTGATGTAAAATTTTGAGGTTTTCTTCCACAAAAAAAAAAAAAAAAAAAAAAAAAAAAAAAAAAAAAAAA